GGTCTCTACAAGCCCTAAACCCTAAATTGTTCGCAGGAGGCTTCGGTCCGGGCTTTCTGGGTTTTAGACTTCTTAATCGATTATTCACGTGGTAGCATAACTCTGCAGACTGAGGTTCTCGTCGTTGAAGTCCCTTGAACAGCCAGCAGTTCCCAACCCACATCGGCTGTTTTGGGTGTTGGGGGGTTAGGTATTTAGGATTTCAAGCAATCTGGATAAAATCCTAAACCTTAAACGCCCTAAGCCAAGCCTTATCCGTGTTAGGGTGCAGTGGTCAAGAAGGGGGCTGTTGTTGCGACTGCACCTTTTGGGAGATAGACACTTCAATGCTTCGGGGTGGCAGCGCATCGTTCAGGGTTTGGGGTTTCGGACTAAGGTGCCTATCAAGCTTTATGTTTAGGACTTACATATACGGTTTTAAAGGGTTTAGGGCTCGGGATTGATAAGGTTTAAGGTTCGGGAAGGCTGCAATAATGGCAGTTCTTGGACATGGCTTTCCGCTCCGGTTCAGGGTTGAGTGTTTAGGGCTAGGGGTTGGAATAATGTTCTCCCAGAAGCTTGGAAACGCTGAGTTGATCGTCACCTGTTGTGCAGCTTTCCGGTGGCATCGGGCGGGCTAAGGGTACATAAGGTCAGTGCACTACAACAGTGCAAGGCAGTCCCAATTAGCAGAATACAGAAATATTCTGCATCATGAATAATAACCCGAAAATGACATTCTACCGTGTCAGTGCCTGTGCGACTATTGTATTTGCAGTGCAAGACCCCTTTGGGGAATATGGGAACCCCTAAGGGTCCATGTGCCCAAATAGTATATACTTTGGCCCCAACGTACCTATATAGGGACTACTTTACGGCCAAAGTATATACTAATTGGGTACATGGACCCTTAGGGAACATGATCCAGCACATTTTCAGCGAGGAGCTCAGTGCAGGTATGGTGTGTTCTTATGATTGGAAGCTACAGGGAGATGACCTTATCTCTTCGAAACAAGAGATTTCTGAAGGGATCAGAATAGGATCCTTGCATATTCTCCGGCAACAGCTCTAGCTCATGCAGGAAGAACTGACTGGGAACAACTGTGTCACTGATAGTCAGCTCAGCCTGACGTGCACAGTCAAAACGAGCGTAATCGACATGCGGGTCGCGCAAAACACTGATTTCGACCAGTATCAGGCATGGCAAGGATGCGAGCGTCATGTACTCAAGCCCTTCCCCGACGCCCCACTGACATAATATATAATAACTTATATATATATATATTATATAATATACAATATATCTGCCACCGGCCTGAACTTTCTCTTGGGTGCTTGGGTCGATCGCCGAGGTGGCTTCGTCCAGTAGCCTGTGGTTTCGGGTGTAGGGCTTAAGTTTAGAGCTTACTCGCTGAAAACCTGACCTTCAAGATTCCATAAGCTAGGTGAGTTTCGAGTTGCCAATTTTTGCTTTCCGGAGGCAATGGTCTGGAGATGGGAAGGATGTTGAGGTGGAGCGCTCCGGCATTTGGGGCCTGTGGCTTAGGCGATTGCCCCAGCGAAGAGGCCCCCCCCCTGTCTCTCCGAAATCCAGGACAGCTGCGAACTGTATGTATACATGAAACCCGGAATCCTGCGAATCCTGAAGCCCCAAAACCCCTGAAGACCAGGAGGAATCAACCCTAAACCCTATAGTGTCTGAAACCCCCTATAACCCCCAAAACCCTAAATGCACTCAGGGGGCAGCACGGCCGGCTGCCGCAAGACCATCCGCGCCAAGCAGACCAGCTGCCGCTGGCCGAAGCTGAGGTTACTTCCTGACTCGGGTTTTGGGTTTGGGGTTTAGGGTTTGCTATGGCTCAGGTTTTAACATTCGGGGTTTATATAAGTTTAGGGTCTACGAGGTCTAAAGTTTAGGGTTATGGCTTTAACCCTCACGGTTTATGGGTCTAAGACTCACGGCTTATGGTTGCCTTACATTCAGGTTTGCGGGCAGGACCGAGACTTCACGTCAGTTTTCGGAACAGCCTGACGAAGCTCACTACTCTCAAGAGTATCGTAGGGTTCTCGCGCAAAGGATCCTGAATCAAAGGGTTTCGGAATTAAGGAGTCTGCTCTGCACACAAAGCTCATGCTTGTGGCCGCCGTTGGATCGACCGAAGTAAGAAGTCTACAAGGCTTATAGGGCTTGGGGTACAAGGTTCCTCTAGGGGCTCTATGAGTTACTCCAAGGGGCTCTTTAGGGCAAGAAAATTTTTGGGGTTTACTCCAAGGGCTCTTTGAGGGTTCCTGTCCAGCTCTGTCTAGGGTCTAGGGTGGTGTTTGGCTTTAGTGTAGGGGCCTTAATAATTAGAATAGGGTTTTGGGGGCTCCTTACTACGATTATAGCACAATATCCCCCCTAAATTATTAAACAATTATTGTATAATATACCCCCCAAACCCTAGTCTAATTATTAAGGCCTCTATATTAGGGTTTGGCGCCTCAAGGCTCAAGGAGAGTACTGCTCATTGCAGACACAAGTCCGACCCCACAACGTAGGACAAGACCAAGAACCCTGAAGCTTAGACCCCAAACTTCAAAATTTCCGTTACGTCCTCAACCCTAAACCCCAAACTTTGAAACTCTAAAGCGTACCTGAAGATCTTAAAACGCCCTAAGGTGCTACACCCTAGACCCCAAACGTTAGTTCTAAAGCGTCCTAGACCGCTAGACCGCAGACCCTACAGCCCGACACCCCAAGGAAGCCTTATAAGCCTTAAACTTATCCAGCGCCCCTAAACCCCAAACAACCCTCAGCCCACAGTCCTAAAGCCTAAGGCCTAAGCCCTTCAAAGGCCCTTGAACCCTAAACCCTTCAACCCTAAACCCTTGAACTGCAGATCCCAAAATCTTAAGCCCTAAACCCTATAAACCCTAAAACCCTAAACCCTAAAACCCTAAACCCTAAAACCCTAAAACCCTAAAACCCTAAACCCCTAAAGCCCCAAACCCTTAAACCCTGCACGTCCTTCTTCATTGATCTGGTGGTCCAACTTCATGGGGAAGGAGTTCACCAAGCTCTCCAGACCGGCGACTTCCAGCGCCTCGCGCGCTCTGTTTCTCTCAAGGGTTTAGGGTTTATAGGCTTATAGGGTTTAGGGCTCATAGGG